ATAAACGCTATAACACACAATTATAAGTCTAATCCAACTTAACAAAGCCAATTTAACACTATTTCTACTTGTGTGGTGGTTTCAACATGACATGAAATGAAAAAATTTAATTATACCAATTGCTCAGATTACATTCATGTTAGGAGGGTATGAATGAACAAGATATGAATAACAATCATTTAAAATGGGTTTATAGGAATATGAAATGAACTCACGTAAGATAAACTCCAACCACTTATTTTGTATCATTCCTGAAGTAGATTCATTTGTCATGTCTGTTATATTTATTGCCATTCATAAAAAATAGGCAACACATGCAAAAAAAATCATAGGTACAATAACAGAAACTGCAAAGCACACAAGAAATTTAACCTCTCCAAGAACTCAGTTGTTGCAAGAGATGAGAAAGTGGTTTTTTTTTTTTTTTTCTGTTTCATCTCAATATAATTAAACAGTAAAAAAATACTTTCACAAAAATATCACATTAGATTATTATTAAAGTTAATTGTAAATTTGAGACACTGGTGTCACGTTCCCCAGGTAATGAACTTATTTGGATTTTTGAGATGGAAAAGTAGAAAATGATGTTAAAGTGACATAATTCCAACACTGCTTTCGAAACACTGCATACAAGTACAATTATGGAAATTGATTCAGCGATTCCCAGAAAGAGACAGGGTTAATTCCACGTCGTAACAAAAGGAATACATTCATTCTAAATTTAATGGCTAACAGGAAACAGTAAAAATATCTCCTCATCATATTCATCATCATTTATGTATTCCACTAATTATAAATCTCCAGTTAAGCTATTTTCCATTTTCAGCTTTGAAACTTGTTTGCAAACATAAATAACACAAGTTTTACTGTAAACACAAAATATCTTCATCCAAATTTATCCACATAAGTTTCTAAATTAGGTCAACATATAAAGCATTTTCGGTTTGGATTCACAAAAAAAAAAAAACATATATATCTATATACATATAAATTCCAACAAAATGACATTTCTATCTTTAATAAATATGATATGCAAAATGACTCAGTAAGAGAAAAAAATGTCCTTGTAAAAATGAATTGGCAACTTCTTTTGACAATCCAGATTGAAAAACATCTGTTACAATAAATACCCAAGTTCTATATTTCTTGGGTTTCTGGGTTTACCTTTAGTTTTACATGATGACCTTTTAGCATAAAGAAGATGTAAAGTTACCAAACCAAGATGCGGGGGTGAAAAGTATCATGGTAAAGAATAAAGCGACACGGACGGGCACCCACAACAACCCCAACAGTGCCAAGTTCATGTGCCTGGGTTTGGTGAACACAGAACATGGATGTACAACGCTTCCTGAACGACCAATGTTATGGTTTTTTTTTTTTCAGCAAACGACCAATGTTATGTAAGATGTGAAAAATGAAAAAGATAATGAAAGATATGGATGGCCCACCATATAAATAGTAGGGCTGAGCCTTTAGATTCTGTTGGGGTTGTTCCCTTGGAGCCATATGAAAATAAAACTAGTTTGGTGCTACTCTTCTCCAACAACCAACACACGTCCTAAGCAGTTGATTTGGATTTCTAAACTGTGTAAAACATCATATGCTTAGAATTTTTTTTGCTCAACATGAAGCATGGCAGTCAGTTAACATTGTCTGAAGGCCACAACAGCAACCTCAGATTTTTTGTTCCATGCCATGTGAATTTGACTTGTCAAATTTTTTTGATAAACCAAAAATTTTATTATCATAAGTATAAGTGGTATCCAAACTCATATACATTCCTTCATTTGATACCACTTACATTATCTATCCCATCACCCTTGCAACATTAAATTGTCACCCTTTTCAATTTATCAATCCAGTACTGGACTTAATAAAAATTACCTCATTCTTGGAAAAAATTTGATTAGTAAATTGATTTTTCAAACAGGTAACTTGGGAGAGAATCAGTTGTTTTAAGAATCAATTCAATCAAGCTCAACATTTTTTACACAAAAGAGTATATATTATATTTTAAATTTTTTATTTTATAAT